GTTCAACACGACCATTCTGTTTATGTGTATAGGCACAGGATTGTCTATGTTGAATTCCTAATTGAACAAACAAAGAATGCAACTTTTTGTACTCAGCACCTAAATCAGACTGAATGGCCTTTATTTTGCAATTAAAGGACCGTTCAACAAGAGTACGAAATTTATCAAAGATGACATAAAGATCAGACTTTAATTTCATAGGAAAGAACCATGTATAACGGGAATAGTCATCCACAAAGATCACAAAATAACGGAAGCCAGAAGTAGATAAAGTGGGCGCAGGACCCCAAATGTCTGTGTAAATAAGATCTAGGACTTGAGAACTAGAGGAAGCAACACGGGGGAGGGGAAAACGGGCAGATTTGCCTAATTGACACGCATTGCATAAAGAATTATGACAACGAATATTATCACGAGACCCACTAACCAAACAAGAACGAAGTATATAGCTAAGAACACGGTTATGAGGATGACCTAGACGATTGTGCCAAGTGGAAGCCGAGGCACGAGCGGAAATAAACGCTGACGGAGACGAACTAGGTAATGAAAGTGTGTATAGTCCCCCCGAACTATTGCCCCAAAGAAGTATTTCCTTGGTATTGATATCTTTTACAACAAAAAAGGAGGGGTGAAACTCAAAAAAAGACTTTATTATCGAATGCAAACTTCTGAACAGATAATAAAGAATTAGACAAACGCGGAACGTGAAGTATATCAGACAATGTAAATGATCTAGAAGGGGTATTAAAAGAGGCATGGCCAACATGACTAATAGATAAACCCATACCGTCACCGACACGTAAAGTGTCATTACCAGTGTACTTCTCCGATGTAGGAAGGGCAGCGATGTTCGGAGTTGCATGATTTGTGGCTCCAGTGTCCGGAACCCAAGTATGAGAATTTGACGAGGTTTTAGCAACTAAACCATTCTGAAACACCAAATTAGCCTGAGAACCCGGAGCCCCTGAATATCGCCGAAAACAGTTGACTCCCGTGTGACCGAAACTTTTGCAAATTTGACACGGATCATTATAGCGCCAAAAACAATTGGCTCCCGTGTGACCAAAACATTTACAAATTTGACACGGATCATCATAGCGCCAAAAACAATTGGCTCCCGTGTGACCAAAACGTTTACAAATTTGACACGGATCATCATAGCGCCAAAAACAATTGACTCCTGTGTGGCCGAAACCTTTACAGATTTGACACGGATCATCGAAGCCACGTTGCTGACCTCCATGGTAATTAAGGTTGCCATCGCAGCGCTGCATCTTCTTAATTTTATGAATCACAAAACCCTAGCTAACTGATACCAGATGAGAACTGATTGTATTATATTTTCTGAACTTAATTACAATGAGATCAGATGATGTGAATATATAGAATAGAGAGTCACAGTGTGACAATGATAAGAAGTAGAGAGTCACAGTGTGACAAGGATAAGAAGTTCTAAACAGACTCATATACATAGAGTCCTAATAAGAGGGCCTAATATTTACACCGTTCATACTTATTTGACATAAAAATCATATATTTTACAGTATAAATTGTGATTTTTGCATTCAACTGAGTGTTACACCGTTCGTACTTATTTGAAATAAAAATCTTATATTTTACAATATTGGTTTTAAAGGTTGCTCTTATACTTTTGATAGGGCTTCATTTATTTATAAGAACGGGGTCACAAATTTATTTTTTTTAAATGCCTATTTTGTGACCCGTCCTTATTTAATAAAAATTTTAGTTATAAAAATGTATATTAATTTCATGTAGCTAGGGCCCATTTTTGTTGCTACGCCCCGGACCTATAAAATGGTAGGACCGGCCCTACACATGGATTCCCATCGACCTACAGACCTAATTAACTCATGAGCATGATTCTCCAAGCCCAATCAACCTTGGACCAGAGTTTATTCCTCCATCAATAAATATTAATAATAAGTTATTGTTTATAAAAATAATTTTAAAAAAAAAAATATTAAAATTATTATATTATAAATAAAAATAAATTTATTTTTCTTTATACGTTAAAATTTCTTCTAAAAAATATCAATTTATCTATATTATAATTTATCAAACATAATTATTATACAATTAGTAATTAATGAAATAGTATCGTTAAATATACCCAATATATTTATAATTTTTTTTACATATTATCTAATAATAATAAATAGCTATATTTATTAAAAATATATTTTAAAAAATTAATAAAATCTATTAATCAAAATTAGATATCTGCTATCCACTAACACTAACTAATTTGATATTCACGTCAATTAATGGTCAAACAAGTCCATTGAGAAACAAAAAGCGGTGAGATGTTCTAGAATATGTAACCAAAGATTAGACAAATTTTAAATTTTGTGAGTAGGATGAGTCGGTTGGAGTCAACGCAGAGGAATATGTGGTTGGTGAAAGGAGGTGGATACAGATAAGCTGCCCATGGGGGTGGGATGATGAGGGTGGGGGGTGGGTATCGCATGGACAAGTGGGAAGAATTGGGTACGGTGGGATCATAGCGAAGGAATGTATACTTGTATAGTTGTTCAAAAGGAGTGAATAAAGGTACAGACGTTATGCCATGGAACCGTGTTCACCATTCATGGTGAACACGGTTCCAACGGTGTTAGTGCACCGTTATCTTTCTTTTTTTTTTTTTTTTTAATTACGTGACTGCCTACACATTCACTTTGGAACCATGTCTACACATTCACTTTGGAATCATGAGATTATGAATTTTCTGTTATGAGATTATGAATTTTCAATTATGCGATTATGAATTTTCTGTTATGCGATTATGAATTTTCTATTATGAGATTATGAATTTTCATTACATTCATAATTTCGGAGTTTCGGACATTCATAAATTATGAATTTATGCATGCACATTCACTTTGGAACCATGCCTACATATTCCCGTCCGAAATCACGGACATTCATAAAATTATGAATCCATGCCTGCACATTCACTTTGGAACCATGCCTACACACTCACTTTGGAACCATGAGATTATGAATTTTCTGTTATAAGATTATGAATTTTCTGTTATGAGATTATGAATTTTCAGTTGTGAGATTATGAATTTTCTGTATGAGATTATGAATTTTCATAAAATTCATAATCTCATAACAGAAAATTCATAATTTGATCAGTAACGCGCCGTTAACTCCACATCCGCGATTTTTTTTTTTTTTTTTTTTGCCTAAAAACGACGTCATTTTGACTTGTGTTCACCATTCTCGGTGAACACGATTCCACGGCATAATTTGCGATAAAGGTAGGGGTGGGCTGTGGCCTGTGGAAAGAAGAAAGGCAAATTATATAATGCACCGCGCGTCAGACATTACAGTGTGTCTAAATCGATACTGTCAAAACGACGTCGTTTTATTTAATGAAAAGAAACAGAATATTCGTAAAAAATAACTCTGTTCTTCAGTTTTATTTTGTATACACTGCAGTTTCAGTTCAACACAATTACAGTTTCATTTCGATATAACTACAGTTTCATTCAATATTTATACACTCAAATATGTGAAAATGTTATTTAATTTTATTTTATATACACTATAATTTCATTAAAACACAACTACATGATCATTTCAATATAATTACAGCTTCATTGTACAATATACACTCAAATATGTGAAATGTTATTCAGTTTCGTTTTATATATACTGTAGTTTCATTTCACCACAATTACAGTATCATTTTGATAATATAAAAATAATACGTGAGACAGTGTCGGTCTAGACACACTGTAGTGTCTGACGCGCGGTGCATGATTGATCATGCACCAAGGTCCACGATATAACGACCCAAGAAGGAAGGGGTATGTAAATATGTAATATCAAAACACAAGAAATTTTGCACTTGATAAAGATAGGTATGGTTAGAATTATGGTGGAGAATTTTGTAAGTCTTTTATTAATTTTTTACATGTTAACATTCAATATTTGAAAAAAATAATAAATTTGAGTATATTAAAAGCTTTATATGAGTAGTCGTCATTGTAAAGTAAACTATTGTCTATAGTATAATGATTGAAGTCTACATTGTAAAGTGAACCATTTGTCTATAATTAAAGTTGACAATGTAAAATGAACCATTGTCTATATTATAATGATCGAAGAATTAGCAGCTTCTAAAAACCATTTGAACTTTTATAAAACATAATTAAGTTTGATATGTTGCAGCATAGAATATTTTTAAAATATATCAAACTATATTTTAATGCATACAATAATAAATATATTCATAGAGAAGTTAAGTTAATGGATGTTAATAAATGTTGCAGCATACAACATTTTTAAAAAAATATTTATATCATAGACATTTTATTATTATATGTATAAAACTTTTAAATTTTTAAAGACTAAAATTGTCAAACAATAAAATAGTGGTAAAAACTTGTGTGAGACCCTCTCACGGGTCTCAATTTGTAAAATGAGTCGGATCTTTGAAGCAAATTATGTTGTGTAATCGTGTGCACTATACATGGTGCACATTATTGCACAAATGATGCCGTTCCAAATTATTAAAAAAAAAAATCATTTTTCATTGCCGTTAACTGTGTCAGGCGATTTCCTTTCGCATTCAAACATTTCATTCTCTCTTCGCAATCGCACAGTTTAGAAATTATGAATTTACTGTATTTAAATTGGGAATCTACAGAATAGAAATTATGTATCTACAGTATTAGATTTGTTAACATGTGATGGAGCTATATGTTCATAATTTTATAAATATATGTTCAGAATTATAGAACTATATGTTCATAATTTTATAAATATATGTTCAGAATTATAGAACTGTATGTTCATAATTTTCGATGTTCATATTCCCAATTGTTGAACTCTGTATTTACAAATCACAGAACTATATGTTCATAATTTGATAACTATACACTTTAGAAATTATAAATCTACTGTATTTAAATTATGAACCTACTGTATTTAAATTATAAATCTACAATATAGAAATTATGAGTCTACAGTATAAAAATTATGAATTGAAACCATACACACCTTACATGGTGCACACGGTTGTACAGCATAACGTTCCGAACTTTGATTAATGAAGTCAATGATCCAACCCATTAATCAAAGAGTTAATTCCAGTAATGGTCCCCCGAGTATGTTGATTTTTCACAATTGGTCCTCGTCTTTTAATTTGGACAATTTAACCACCCGACTATTAAATTTTTTCCAATTGAGGTCCTTCCGTCCATTGCTGGTTAAGTGGGTGTTAATTCGAGGGATAAAACCGTCCTTCCCCTTATTGCGTATAAATCATCTTTGTTCCACAATGTATACGTGAATAAATAAACGAAGACAGTGCAACAGAGCATGCCACGTGGACTGTGTGGCTGGATGGTATTGACGGCAGATGGTGGTGGTCGTCGGTAATGGTTGCTGTCCGGCGTAACGGCGCGGTGGTGGAGCCCTCTCTCTCGCTCGTCAACAGCAATGGTAGTAGCTTTACTCTCCAGTAGCGGACTCCCGACGGCAAAGCATGATAAATCCAAAGAAAGATTCAGCAACTCCATCATAGCACAAATTATATTCTAACAAAGCAAACCAAATTGGTGGATGTTAAAGAGTGGAAAAACAAAAAGAACAGTAGATGCTAAAACAATAACAATTAAACATCTCACTGCAATCAAACTGATTCCATGGAATCAGAACAAAAAAGTGAAGCATTTCATCAAACAAAACCCATTTGTTCATAATCATCCTAATCTGCAGCATTTGTTTTTCAATTCCTTCTTTAACCAAAAGAAAAAAAAAATCATTAATTTATATCGGGTGGTAGATGCTTAGAACTTGGGAAAAACTCATTTGACCAAACCAATTGCCAAACATAATAAAGAAAAGAATGCAGTAAATTCAATAAAGTAAAAATTGAAATGAAAGGAAAAGTTTAACAAAAAAAGGAACAATGAAAGAGGAAACCCACTCATGCAAAGAAATTCCAAACCCCAGAGCACTTTGAAAACGACGACGAAACAAAAAAGAGCAAAAAAAAATCAAACCTTTGGCTTGAGATCTGATTCAGAATTGGGTCTAGTCCCTGTAGTAAGGAAAAGTCGCTGAATTCCGACGGGAAAGCAGGGAACAGTCCGAGGACTGGCCCACGGTGGCCAGAGGCGAGCTGTCCATTCCCAGAAACTTGCGCGACTCCTTGGGGGACCACCGCGAGATTGGATCGTCGACTCCCCCGCTGCGCCATTGGAGGACGAAGGCGAAGAGCGCAAGGGAGAGGGGTAGCAGAGTGAGGAGGAGAAGTAGATTAGCGGCGAAGGAGGCGGCGGCGGATGCAGAAGACGGTGGTTGGGGCCGGAGAGAAGCACTGAAACCCGCTATGATAGATGGGGAAAGACCGAGAGGAATTCGCGTATACATTGGGGGAAAGAAGATGATTTATACGTTGACTAAGGGAAATGACGGTTTTATCCCTCGAATTAACACCCACTTAACCAGCAATTGACGGAAGGACCTCAATTGGAAAAAATTTAATAGTCGGGTGGTTAAATTGTCCAAATTAAAAGACGAGGACCAATTGTGGAAAATCAACATACTCGGGGGACCATTACTGGAATTAACTCTTAATCAAATATTCGACCCATGTTTCACAGGTCTCACACAGTGGTTATCCTAAAACAGTAGCCAAGCGTCAAACTTGACAGCAACTTTGAGTAAAAGTAAATATGATAACATATATGTGTACAGAATGCAAGCAAGGCCTACATCTCATCCCCCATCCATCATACAAAATATGGAGTAGGACAGCATTAGATTACTAATCTTCCACCAGCCATTTATTTCCGGTGCTCCACTTGACTTACACCCAAAAACTGGATTCTGCTTTTCAAGTCAGAGTGCTACAATACTGCACAAACTCCTCTACCCTCTGTGCTTCAAAACGTTAAACTCAGTGGACTTCCGAGCATGCTCAGACAAGCATGCGAGCACACACATAATCAAACTACCACTCTAAAGCATAGGGGAATATATCTGCTGCTAGGAACATATATGAAAAATGACTAATGCTCTAGGGAGTAAACACAGATCTTTCTTGGTTTAACATATTAACGATGCCACAGGGACTGAAGCAGAACGAATGGGGGGTGAAAACAAGCCTGATGGAACCCGCGGAAGTCTTGGCGACAGGTTAGTGAGCTCCAAGGCTTGTAACCTCAACTCAATGGGGTAATCAGCAATACACCCGATTCTTGGACCAGCACCGGTTGACCATGTTCTTGAGAGTTGTTGCGCTAATTGGTAAGAATTTGATGCCTTCTTGGAATTGATCCTCTGCAGAATTACCGTCTTTGGCACCTCGGCCCTCGGGCTCTGAAGACCACCAGACAATGTCCTTTTATAGCATCCACTGGGTGCAGATTTGAGAGCTCCAGATGATTCTAAGGACAAATCTTTCTTTTCTTCATTTGGAAGCACTGCTGGAGTAGACGAAAGAGTTGAAAGTTCAGATGTCTTCACTGACTTTCCCTCTTCATAATTTTCGTAGTCTTCATTAGCCTTCTTTATCTGATGACACAAATTAGAAATTAATTAAGAAGACAGTCATTGCAATCAAGACAACCACCATAATTTCACAAATTGTATCTACTAGGCAGTCACTAAGGCATAAGGCCACTTGATTCAATAGTCTGCTAAAGTCAACATCATATTCAATTAAGTAAAAAACCAAAGAAATATAATACTCCGTATTAAATCTATTACCTCAACTTCATCAAGGTTGACTCCATTTTCCTTGAGAAATGATATAAAGGTGTTGAGACTGTCATCAGTTGGCCGATAGTGCCCACTATATGGTGAAATAGACTGAAAGTACAAGTGTACAAATAGTTAGAAAGATACCACAAATAACTCATTAGCAAAATTTGAGGTTTGTGACATACAGCATCTTTTAGTAGTTCTCTTTCTATTTTATTCAAATTCCCTCTGAATAAAGGGAAGAAAATACATAATGCAGTGGAAAGCCTAGTGTAATGGATGACACGGTTAATAAGAAATATTGTAGAAAGTTCCATGCGAATTGATAATAGATACAGCAGATTCTCAATCTCACAAACCAGATATCTATTGTAAGTTGTAACTTCTATAAAATACATAAAACAAGAAGGCAAATTAACCCACCTTAGGTGTTCCATCTTGCACTACAAGTCTCCCAGCAGCTAAAGTAGCCCCGCCAGCAAGGAAACTGGAATGATGAAACATTCCCTTCTTTTTCTGACAACATTGTGAACATAATCAATTCAAAGGATCAGAATTATTCAAAGAAATAGTTTTAAGTATTCTGTATTCATCTGAAAGAAGAATTTCTGTCCTTACCTCGCCAGCATAGAGCTTTTTGGAGGTGCTCATCACAAAAATCCATTTTGCCCCTGGTGAACCTTTGGTTGTATCAAGAAGCTCTCCAGTTTGTTGATGCAAAACTTTCCCCTCAACAACTACATATTCATAATGCTCTCTCTCTTGCTGATTGTAGACAGTATGGATAGGAAAAAAAAAAGATTTAGTAGTAGTCACTGAATACCCAAGAATATGATCATGGAAACAATCATATGAAGTGACACCATGTGATCAAGGATATTATTAGGACTTCTTAGACAGAGTACATTATTAAGGAAGTTGGAAGGCAAATATATGTAATGTAATGGCAGCACTACTTAATAGTCCATTTTAAACAATATGGATGAGCAGTATGTTGTTTTGGAATGCAATAAAACTACTAAAACAACACTATGACTTACAGGCCCAAGATATATAATGCACTGTCTCTGAAGCTTTGACCTAGAGCATGCCTTGAGATCAACTTTTTTGCCATCTCCAAGATCCAACCTGCACAGCAGACAAGTCTAGGTTTTAAGAGATACAATACAAACTATCCCATTACATACAATGTCAGAGATGTAAAGAAATAAGACCAAAAAAAAAAAAAAAAAAAAAAAAACTAACTAAAAGAAAATTAAGTTTAATTCAAAGTCTAATTTTAAAAAATAACATAAGAATTTGGCTGTGCTACTTTATGGATTACAAATCAAATTTCACTCATACAGGTAATATGTGATCTTAGTAGCTTCTAATAAGCGGCTGACCAAAAGCACATGTCCTACTTTCCTGAGTACTCAGAACCTAAAAAATCAATCCACCTTGGGCAAACTTATGCTTGATCCATATTGCTTACAATTCTGGGTTGCAACAAACACATAAAATGCATAATCATTGAGCTCATATCAGCACAATTTAGTTCTCCTGTTCTTTGGATGTTGTGGTTTATGTAGAATACAATACAGCCACCATGTTTGACCACCTCAATAGACTTGCAAAACATCAAAAATAGTTTCCCAGGCTCACAGTATACTTACCAAAAGAAGAATGGCTGACCAGAATCAGAATTGCACCACTCTTCATAATACAAATGTAAATTGTGTCCATAACGATGCCGCGGATCAATCTAGAATTTGTACACATCAAGATCAGCAGTTAGAGTGAAGTGGAATGCACCACGATTTGCAAATAACTAAATAAAACAGTTCAGGGAAGTCAATCCAAAAGGCTTGTTAAGAAATTTACCGCTTCAATCCAATGCTGAAATGCCAATTTCTGAGCCTTGGCATCTTTAGACAGACCCTTACCCACCTGAAATATAAAATACATTTATATTTGGATTTTCAACAGTAGTTGCAGAAAATAAAAGATATTGGCCTAAGCCTAAAGCGTGCTGTGTGCTGTTTCTTCTCTTCTTCTCTTTTCCCCAGCTATATGGTATATTGTAATAAAATGCATAAATTACCATACCTTTGAAGCATTTACCCTAACTCGATTCCAACGAGAAGCTGTTGTTTCTGGCTTCAAGAAATTGAAGAATGAAATTGTACTATGATTCAATCGAGCGTAATCTAGAGCTTGCCACCTGCAAACAACAATAAAATAAAGAAAAATCTATTTTATGAGGGAGAGAGAGATATTTTATGTGGTTGTCAGCCATTTTTGGTCATTTTGGTGTTTCTAAATATTTGAATATATCTATATATATTTTTTAAAAAGAAAAACATAAAATAAATAAAATTTACCAGAGCTCTTCAGCCACCACAGCAGAGTCTGCTAACATGCGCCGGGTACGGTAGCTCCGATACACCTTCTGCAACGTCATGGCGGCGCTCGACTGACGTGTCAGTGGCGCGTCAACCACCGCCGCCGGCCCGGGAGAGACCAAGCCGGTGTGGACCACGCCATTGGGCGCGTAGGGCACGGGTTCAGAACACAAAACGGTCAGGGGAGATATCTCGCGGTCATTAACCTTTTTGACGCTATTACATTCCGTGCCTCCGTCCTCGAAATTTTCGCTTCCGGAGGCATCGTTGGAGCTCCGGAACCCCGACGCGCGGAGCTTCGGCTGATCGACGTAGGGAGAATAGTTAGCACGAGTGCCGGAGTCGACACTTAAGGAGGTCGCCGGAGAGTGAGTTTCAACTTCCATTGAAGCCAAACTCAAGAGTATTGAGACCTTTCAGTAGAGAAAATTCTAGAGAGAAGTGAGAATCGAATACGAAACAGGTGCTCGGGCACACTCTATTTAACTGCAACTTCTGACTGTGTTAGCGCGTCGTTTGTGTATAACTCTCCGGTAACGGCCTAGCCACTTGTCAGTAAAATCTGTGAAATATTCGTCGCTTCATATTCACATTTATTTTACCAACAATAGTAAAATATTAAAATAATTAATTAATGCTTAAAAAAATTAGAAAATCATACAATACAATAATATAAACATTCACTCTGTGAGGCCGTCTCACGGGTCTCCATCCGTGAGACGAATCAGATTTCTAATTAATGAGTCAAATCTTTGATTAATAGATCGAATCTTTGGCCTCATTAATCAAATATATGTCCTGTCTCATGAATTGAGAGTCGTGAGACGATCTCACACAAGTTTTTACCTTATATTTTTCATCAAAAGTATTACATTTTCCTTATAAGTAATGTTGGCAAATGTTGTTACTTATAAGGAAAAATGTAATACTTTTGAGAAAAAATATAATACTTTTAAATCAAAAAAATGTAAAAGTATTACATTTTTCTTTAAAAGTATTACAATTTCTCAGTAATAAATATTTTATTCCTTATTAATATTACATTTTCCAGTATAAGTATTACATTTGATCTTGCCCCGACCCTTGTCCGTGAGACGGTCTCACACCAATTTTTGCCATTAATAATAAGTCTTATGTAATGTTGTTTCATGTTAAATAATAATAATATATCTTGTATGAGACCATCTAACCTGAGACGTGTAATATTTATTTAATTAAAATATAACTTTTCTATTAACTTATAAAAAATTACATTTTAATTAAAATGTATTACACATTTCATTCTAGACGCTTTCACATAAAATTTATTATAATAAAAATAATAATAAATTATGGTAGTATGGTGTGATTCAAATTATAAAAATTGTGTACATTATTATAGACATAAAAAAAAATACGTAGTATTACATTTTAATTAAAATAATGTACTAATAAGAACAATAACAAAAACAACAACAACAATAATAATA